AGGAAGACCATCTAAAAAAAAAAAAAAAAAGAGCCTGAATGTCCACACATTACTTGTGTATATCCCTAAATTTCTGAAATTTAAATTGATTCTAAGCAGAAAAGTAATAGTCTTCTAGATGGTCTAATATATTTGCAAGTTTTTTACTAATTGCTTTGCCAAGAACTTTCCAAGTGTCCCACCATTTTTCAGAGGCATCAATAACTTCTTTGAAATATTACAATGGAAGTATTAGTTTGAATATTACTAAGAATGACTTTGCACTCTGAGGTTTTCCTTTGTTTTTAAAGTACTTCTCATAGACATTTATTATACATACTAATATGCTAGCCTTGCATCTTTAAATTTTTTAAGTTATATTCATTTGTGTGTGTGTAAACGTGTGTGCACACACTCACGAAAATGTGTGGTCACATGAATTCCACAGCATGCGTGTGGAATTTAGAGAACAGCTTGCGGGGGTTGGTTCTCTCCTTCCACCATGTGACTCCCATGGATTGAACTCAAGTCACCAGGCTTGGCAGTAAGGACCCTTCCCCACTGAACCACCCTGCCAGTCCTCACCTGACATCTTACTGATCTTTTTATCTCTTATGGTTACTTGATACACAGTAGTCACCAACAAATATTTGTTAAATGAATGATAATCTTTTAATAAATTCTTTCAAATATTCTTCCTAAATAACATAAATGTTTCCAAAATGCACACTAGGAATTATGACCCCTGCAGGAAATATGCTGGGTATGAATGAAAATGGCCCACCTTAAGATCTGGCCTGGCACCAGGGAGAAAGATTGTGTCCCAATTCCAGTAACTGAAGCCCATAGCTAATCTACATATGCATATTTTCTGGCTTGTATTTCATCTTTTCTAGAAGTTGTATTATTGCTATAGGTAAGGCTGACATAGAATGAGAATTTCTCTCCACTTGTGGCCCAAACTATAAGTATCAATATATTGGTCATATAATTGTTTTTCTCTTAATACAAATGAGCATTCTACTCATAGCCAAGTACTATAGTCAAGGGTTCTGGTAACACTGATTTAAATTCAGGCTTGTTTGGTTTTTTTGAGAAGAAGGAAACAAAATCCATAATTTCTTTTAGCTTATGAAGTGCTTGGGGTGACATTTTAGGGCAAAGGTTTTAATTTTTCCCTTGAAGTTTATTTGGCTTAGCTAAAGTGTTCAGGACACTTTCCTTTTGAATGTCTAAGAGGCCTTCTTGAAAGTGTGCTGACAATCAAGATTGATGATGCAGTTACAAGGCTGAAGGTTTATTCTGGGCCAGACCCTGGGCTTCTCAACACCCAGAATGAGCTATCAGCCAACACAAATGTACTTACCCTTCCTGAGATCCAAGGTCTTATACTGGATATTGTACACTGGTCTCCTCCAGCTTGAACTAGGAAAAACAGGCCATACCTCACACTCAGTGTAATCAGGAAATATAATTTAACCAGAATGCCCAGATCCATGTTCATGTCCAAGGTGTACATTAAAGTTAGAAACGAGCCATTTAGAGTGTCTCTTGGTCTATCTGAAATGTGGTACAAGACAGAAGTAATTTCTCTTTTGAATTTGTCAGTCCATTTTCGCAAATATGATGCTGCTACCATGTCCCTTTCCTGGGCAATATAAATGTGAAATGGGAGAAGAACCATAATGACACTGTATCTCCTTACCCTTAGCATCTAGTGAACAAACGAGCCACCAGTGGTGGACACAGCAGCAAGCTGATATTAATGAGCACACCAAGAGTCACAGTAGCAAAGCACTGGAGCCTAGGCCTTGCTTCCCTCCCTCAGAGTGCAGTTAATTTGTAAAAACATGACAAAGGAAACGATCTCGCTTTTTGCTTTCATCTTTCGGAGTCCTAACATATGGGTCAAGTGTCCACTTCCCAGGACAAATGGTCTTTCCTATTGTTTAGCAGATACCCAGAGGGAAACAAGGTACCATAGAAAACTAGGCACTGTGAATGGTTATTCCACCCAATTCTTTGTTATTAGTGTGAAATTACTCCTTTTAGCAGAAAAGATAGAGTCACCTGAATTCTGAAGGCTTAGACTTTATTAATATGGAAGTCACATTCTTGCTATAAAGCTATATCTTTGTATGCATACTTTGGAGATTTTCTCTGTGAATGATTAACTGAAACTCCTGCCATCCTTGCTTCCAGGGGAGGGAAGGTGGCTGGCTGGGATTGAGGTGCTGCATGAGCCCCCAGTTCAGGTGACACTTTCCACCTCCCCAGTCCCAACCCCGTCGCTGGTGAGTGGCTAGGCAGGCTTGACCCCACTTCTCCTTCCACAGCCCCATTCCCACGCCCTGTTTCTTTTCCTTCCAAATGCTGGCCAGCTCCAGTCTGGGGCTCTAAAGAGAAAAAACCTGCAGGGGGGACTTCCTCGGTTCCCCACCCTCTTGCTCACGGCCAGTCAGGGGTATAAGAGGAGCGCGCGGGGGGGGGGGGGCCCAGCCTGTCCCTTTCACAG